AAAAAAATAATAATAAAATACTCAAATAGTGATGTAGGGTACTTTAGTTTTTCTCTCTTTTTTTAGATAAAAAAAGGAAAGAAATTGAAGGAGCGGTTTATAGTTAATTAAAGCGAGGGATTAAAGTGAATGTATAAACTAAGAAGCAATGATTTGGTGAGCTGTGAGTGGCTGTCCAAAGGGACAAAGATAGCATGGCCAGACCTGATTCCAAATCCTCCTGGATTGATACGGTCCAGGCTTTGCTCCATTCCCCTGCCTCTCTATCAACATTGAACCGAACCAAACCGAACCGACCAAGGCTCTCCGATTGCCACGTCGACCCAGATATCATTTGCAAAAAGAAGGTCCATGTGTCCATGATCTCGAATCTTGATGTCATACTCCCCAAGCTCAACAACATATCCCATTAATCTACCAGACACTTAAAGCTTTTGAAATTAATCAAATTATAATTAGATAATGATATAAAAATAATTTTTTATATAATTTTTACGTGTTTATTAAATAAATAAAAAGAATTAATTATTTTTAAATTATTTATAAGATTATATTAAAAAATAATACAAAATAATTATCTTGAATCATTTAATTAAAGCGGTTTGAAAACTATTAATACAAATGGAGAGTAAAATTTTATTTTTGGCCTGTAAAAGTAAAATTGAGTTTTGATATTCTTTTTTTTTTTTTTTTTTTTTGACAAGGGTAATGAGTAGAAGTTAGGTTAGTATTTTGTTCTTGACAAGATTCAACCACTGGTAAGGGTGCAATTCATCGACAACCCTTTGAGCTATAGTGGTCATTAATGAGTCACAACAAAGAAATGCATCAAATACCCCTTTTAAGTAAAGTGAAAAAAAAGTTAAAATAAATAGGGAATTATATTTTTTATATAGTAAATCATCAAATGTATCAAAAAAATAATAATAAAATACTCAAATAGTGATGTAGGGTACTTTAGTTTTTCTCTCTTTTTTTAGATAAAAAAAGGAAAGAAATTGAAGGAGCG